GAATAAGATAACAGGTCCCAAGCTTACAAGTAACCAAAGATATAAAAGAAAATATATTTATTATTCAATCACATAAATTCATTAAATGATGAATCCCAATATGCCACATAAAGCTGGGCACAACAGCTTAACTGCATCAGGTTCCAGATATGCTGCCCATATATTGTGCTCTGGGTAAGACTTAAGAACAAGCTTTGGTTCTCAAGCCATGTCTTTACAAAACAAAGAAAGTGATTTGGAAAAGGAAATAAACCGTTCTTAATGCCACAAATCTCATTAGGTTAAATACAAGAGTATTTAGACAAAAATAATACCATAAAATTCACTTACATCTTGTTGACTATTCTTTGTCGTGAATCTGGATGCAACTGGGCTCTCCAATCACCTGGATCCATGGGGGGCTCTCCACTGGGAGGAGTAGACCTCCAGTTATTGGTATCCATCAAATTCTGACAACACCAAAAGAGAACGGTCACAAAACTTCCAGATTAATTTTTTGTTATAAATTATGGATCGTGAAAAAATAAAACTAGTAAGTTTGGAAACAAATCCCTCAAGTATGCAAAATATCTGACGAAGTTCTTTCATAAACACTTCCCTTCCACATGTTCATTTCCATCTCTTGATAAGAAACTCAGAGTAAAACACGTGGTTATTAATATCTCCTTACAACATAAAATATGTATAAAAAGTTAATTATTAATATTACATAAATATGGACAAAATCAACGAGATAATGCGTTGAAATTTTTTTTTCACGAGATAATGCACTCGCCAGATTAATTGCTCAGGATGATCTCTACAGTCCCCGGGATAGGTCGCCATGCACCTACCAGGTCGCCATGCACGCCCAGCGACCTATGTAGGTCGCCATGCAATCCAACCCCCAAAGATCGCCATGCAGTCCATGAATAAATGTTTAGCCGTTTGACAGCCGACTCATTGTTTAAACAAGCAGAAAGCAAACAAGCACAAGCCAACAATGAAAGTGGACAATATCATATTAATAATATTGCATCTTAGGCTGGAAAATACTAAATACTCATCCAATATAAAAAAATAAAAGGTCTAATCATGTTTTCAGTCGTTGTACTATCCAACTATTTAAAATGTAGTCCCTCTAATTTAAATCTAAGTATTTTTCACCCTTCTAAAACTAATATTTCTTTTTAAATGTTTTTAGTTTTGTTTAAATGAAGAATTGTAATTTTCAACCTTTTGAAAAATAAAAAAGTTGATTTACTTTTTTTTGTTTATCAATTGATATTCGATCAATTGATCGATTATTTCAGACTAGATTTTACATAAACTCATTTTAAAAATGGCATTGTCATATTAATTTATTTCATTCACAAAATTCCAATTATCTAAAATATTATAATTTATCTCAGAACAAACATAATTTCTAATTTCACTTGATTAGTACAGAACACGTGAAAAGTTCAATAAAAAATAAAAATCAACCTGAAATCTCTGGGTTCTGAATTCAAGATATAAGATTTTGAAAAACTGAACTGTGTTGATTCTTTCTACTTGTATGACTTCAATAACACTTTATATCACATAATTCAATTTAGTACGTATCTTCAGGCATTTGCCAAGCATGGACTGTATGGAGACCTTTGGGGGCTGCATGGATTGCATGGCGACCTGGTAGGTCGCTGGGCGTGCATGGCGACCTACCCCATCTAACAGGGACATCGCCCGGAGCAACTGGCGACCTATATGGGGACTGTAGAGATCAGAGCAATTAATCTGGCGAGGGCACTATCTCGTGAAAAAAAAATTCAACGCATTATCTCGTTGATTTTGCCAGTAGTAGGGTTGTTTTGGGCAAAATCAACGAGATAATACGTTGAATTTTTTTTTTTTTCACGAGATAGTGCCCTCGCCAGATTAATTGCTCTGATCTCTACAGTCCCCATATAGGTCGCCAGGTGCTCCGGGCGACGTCCCTGTTAGATGGGGTAGGTCGCCATGCACGCCCAGCGACCTACCAGGTCGTCATGCAATCCATGCAGCCCCCAAAGGTCTCCATGCAGTCCATGCTTGGCAAATGCCAATTATAATTCTTCATTTAAACAAAAGACTAAAACATTTAAAAAGAAATATTAGTTTTTAGAAGGGTGAAAAAATATTTAGATTTAATTAGAGGGACTACATTTTAAATAGTTGGATAGTACAACGACTGAAACATGATTAGACCTTTTATTTCTTTATATTGGATGAGTATTTAGTATTTTCCAGCCTAAGATGCAGTATTATTAATATGATATTGTCCACTTTCATTGACTTGTCTTTGACTTGTGCTTGTTTAAGCAATGAGTCGGCTGTCAAACGGCTAAACATTTATTCATGGACTGCATGACGACCTTTGGGGGCTGGATTGCATGGCAGCCTACCTAGGTCGTGGGCGTGCATGGCGACCTGGTAGGTCGTTGGGCGTGTATGACGACCTACCCGGGGACTGTAGAGATCACCCCATCTGACCAATTAATCTGGCGAATGCACTATCTCTTGAAAAAAAAAATTCAACGCATTATCTCGTTGATTTTACCCATAAATATTTTATGGATACAATCACTAGAATTTGATATTTTAAAGAGAATAACACTCTCTTTTACTACTGAAATCTCTTTATTAACATTATTTATAAAATATATTATTATTAAATAAATTTATGATAAATAAAATTATATAAAATTATAATTTTATAATATTCTTGTGTATGTAACGTGGATAATATAAAGAGAATAAACATATATATTTAAAATTAGTGATTGATAAAATGGAGTGGTTTCAATTATCTAATGGCAGATCAAAAATATTTTTTAAGGTGTACACATATATATTAATAATATAAAAAATTTAAAATAAAAATAATTTCAGATTTTATATTAAACACAATTAATAAAATAAATAATAAATAAAAATAATTTAAATTTTACCTCTTTATTTTTTTATAATTTTATCTCTTTATTTTTTTTATAAAATAAAATCCATCCCCGACTACGGTACTTAAAAATCAAGTGTTAAATTCATGAAAGTACTTGCTAACAATACTTACAAATAGATTTTTTTTTCACAATAGAGAAAAATAAATAAACTACATTAAATGGTCATTGAAATATAAGTAGGTTTTTTCTTTTAATATTGAAATTTTAAAAGTAATGATTTGATTTCTGATGTTATCATTTTATAAAAAAAAATCCCTTGACCGTCACTAATCATTATTGAGGTAACGGAACAATGGAACTCTGACATGACATGTTAAATTAATTGACTTGACACTCTTAATTATATAAGACGATAGACTGACCACGTTTGACTCCTCTTTAAAATGACCTCGATCCTTAAGAAAATCCTATTTTTAAAATCAAATCCCGAGAATAATTTCTAAAAAAAAGGAATCATAAGTGGAGGAGAAGATGAAAAACTCGACTACATACTACTTTTGCAACTGTGAACACCCAACACATATGTTGTTATTGTTGTCCTCTTGATTCTATTTGGTTCGTATTCACGTGTCTTCAACACGTACAGTCGTTGTATCATGAATAAAAATCTATCACCATTACGACAGTGATACACACTCGTATGATATAACTAGATTACGAACCGATAAACGTCAATAGTCACGTTTTTTAGGAGTACTGATAATTGTTTCAACCACGGCGGCGCCCCGTCCTCTTCTCCCCGATCTCCAACGCCCACGATTTGACTGATTGGAGGGAAACTGTGGCGACTCAGCAATTGCTGGTATGATGAGTATCTCTTCCTCACATTTTAGATGTCCTTCTGTCAAAATTTTGATAATCAGTATGACATTCAAGCAAGCATTCTAGAAAGTAGTTCATAAACTTGTAAATCCTTCGGTAAATATGAATGCCAACTTAAATTTCTAAATATTAATTTGCGACAATGATTAATGAACTAACTGTTGTTCTTATTACTTTTTTCATGTAGGAATTGGAGTAAGCCTTGAAAGGCAGCCTCTCTATTCCAGTTCTTCATCAACTCCCCAGCTACTTCTGCAGGGCTGACATTTACCTCCTCTAACATCCTCTCAATCTGCTCGAAAACACCATCGTTGCCGATACCGAAATAGTTGAAGGCAAGTTGCTTGAATATGGATGCATTGCAGTACGACATGTGAATATGCATGTCCATCCGACCCGGTCGCACCAATGCCGGGTCTAACCGTTCTTTATGGTTCGTAGTGAAGATTATGATGCGTTCTTCGCCGCAGCATGACCAAAGTCCATCAATGAAATTCAGGAGTCCAGACAGTGTCACCTGATTGTCACCTTGATTTCCATCGGACTCTGTCTCCGATTCTCGATTTTGTAGCTTGATCGAGCAGTCAATGTCTCGATGACGAGTAGGATCTTGGCATGGTGAGCAACAAAAATCGAAGATCCGAGTTAGTATGGACGTCGGTGAGATCCAAGTCATAGATGTCATATTTCAAGTAATTAGCCATTGCTGCTATCAAGCTTGATTTCCTGTCCCTGGAGGACCGTACAGCAGATATCCACGTTTCCAGGCTTTGCCTACTCTTTTGTAGTATTATGCCCCATTCGTAAAGTGTTGAAGATCCACCATTACAGCCCTTTTGAGCTCGGAATCCATAGCCAGTGTGTTGAATGTCATTGGGTGTTTGAGTTTGATCTCTTCCACATCCCATCTTCCATAAACAACTGTGTGAAGATTATCGTCTTATTCTCTTCTCATCAACTTGCTCTTTCTAAAACATAAGGCAAGTACGAATCGATCACTAAATCTTTGTTTCTCTTGTGAAAACTCAGTTCATATTGTCTAACTTCTGATCTTAGAGATGAATTAAGATCCCCACCATTGTTTTGATTCCGAGAAGGAACTGAGTCAACTGGTGAACAAACCAGTTGCCACTTCATCTCCACTTTCTCGAAAACATCAACCAAAATCCCACCTCGATCCATGGATAAAGCTAACTTGTTATCCTTCTCAGATTTTCCCACCTTAACTCTCTGGATCGATGGGGCTGCAGTTTTGCTTCCCAAGTAGATATCAGCAGCTTCAAACACTTGGTTGACAGCAAGCCCTCTGAATTCTTCAATCACAATTGTTATCTGAGAAGTGAAATGGTGAGATAGATTCTCTAACTTGCAGGAGAAGTAGTTCATGACTTGTGGAGGAAGGAAATCATTGACAATGGTCCGAAACACCATTGATGCAGCTGCTATGGAGCCTAGTGTGGATAGAAGGTTCTTACTTTTCATCGTTCTCCTTTGGGTCGACATTTTTTTGTGTGAACTTATGTATGGGAAATTGGTTTTGACGGGGTTTTGTTTTTCTTGGAAGATCTTGTTGAAAAAATTTGCAGAATCTGGGTTGATGAATAGGTTGTGAGGTAACTGGTAAAACCCAGAAATTCTTGCTTTGGATTGAGATGCATCACCATATTTATATGGGTGTTTTGCTGACCATTTCAGAGGAGGAGGGTTTAATATAATTCTAATACACGTTTTCAACTTTGACATTTCTATTCCTTCTTCTCCAAGCTCCTCATGACTTTTCCAAGGGAAAAATAAAATTCTTTCAAAGGAACTGTTAATTTTGAATACAATGTCAACGATTATATTAAACATGATGCGCACTATGAATGGTATTCAATCGAGTCGTGTCGAGTCAAATATTTTTAAGTTAATCGAATTGAGGAGTCTTATTTTATAATTTAAATTTAAATTTAAATTTTTTTCCGAATTGATTAAAGTCGAATTGCTCGAGTTTATATTTAAATTAATTAAAATTTATAATGTTATATACTAATTGATTTCAAAAATGATTTTCTATAACTATATACGATATATATATATATATATAATGCAAAGTTGAGAAACTCGACTAAAATTTTAAAATCTACTTATTACTAAAAAAATAAACGTTCATATTTTATATTTTAAACTTTATTTAAAAAAAATTCAAATTAAATCATATCAAATTTATTAAATTATAAATAAAATCAAAAAATTTAATTTTTTATAATCGATTTGAGTTTTTCTCACTCTAATATGAATATAATAAAAGAACTGAAAATATTATGACAATAATATTAATATATAAAATTATATAAACGTAATAAAAATTATATATTTTTTATATCTATACTATTTAAAAATTGGATGATACAATTAAATTTAAACATATTTTAGAACTCAAATTTGATGAGATATCAATTAAACAAGATTTAAATATGTATTTTTCTTAGGAAAATAATATAAATTTTTAAGTAAAGATAAAGGACGACGAATTTAATTCCACCCCAACTATTTTTTACTTATATTGCCAGTCCTTTTTCTAAATGTCATGAGTCCTAAAATTCTAAGAAATTTAATTTATTTATGGGTAGATTAAATTGTATGCTATGCTATTAAATTTTAGATATTAGATTTTTAATTTTTTTTAATTAGAGTACTAAATTTTAATTTTGACGTCAATTATATCATCATTAAAATTCAAACGATGTGATATGGACAAAACAATATTATTTTAGTGCGACTATTAAGGTCTAAAACAATGTCATTTTAGACACTAAACTTTAGAGATGTATCGATTTTGTCACTATTTTTTTTTAACATATTAGTTTTAGGCACGACAATTTTTCGGCAGCTGCCGACAACCAATCATTGTCTGTTACAGTCATCTTTCACGATAAAATCATTACTAATTTCTTCTCCTAAGACTGTGTTTTCATGAAACTCACTCAAAATCAACGAAATTAAACAAAAACCCATCATTTTTAGGGATTTGGGGACTTTCTTAGATTTGAGGGGTTTGTTCGAAAATTCGAACAGTGAGAAGTATTATTTTGAGAAGATGAACAATATACCTCAAAACTAGCCTTATCAAACGACCATCAAAGGAGATCAGAGTATTAGCACATGGAACTTTTAAATGATTTTTATCGTATTTGAGTAGATTTCATGGAAAACCAATCTTATGAGAAGAAAGAGGACTGAAATGCGAACGTTTTGATATTTATCTTGCAACAAAAAGACGATCGATGACAGATGACTATTGGCTATCAACGTCGATCTGAAAAATTTAGTGCAAAAAACATAATCTTTTTAAAATGTAGTGGTAAAATCAATCCACCCATAAAATTTAGTGCCTAAAACGACGTCATTTCTGACATCGATAGTCATGTTAAAATTACATCATTTTTTTCCACATCATCACAGTGAAGGAAATATTTTTCAACATCATCGTGTCGTTAAAATTTAATAATCCGGTGACATAACTGAAGTATGAAAGAATAATTTTGAAGGTTAAATATATAAAGAATGGAACCCATAGAAATTTTATTCCTAATGAATGAATAATTAATAAATTAAGAATCTATGATCCATTAAATACGCCAACTTGTTTGTGCCCTAGGTTTGCCTTTCTCATTTATTTGACACGAGTTATATTATTAGTCAAGGTTTAATATTTATTTTAGTCCCTTCTCTTTAGTAAAATTTTCACTTCATCACTCTACTTTTTTGTCAGATTTTTAACGTCAACATTTCCCTAATGTTACCCTTATTTTCACTTTTTTTTCTCGTCCTAAAATGTCTGCTTATCCTCACCTCAATGTCTGCTCCCTTGCTCCTTTTAATCTTAAACCAATTGCCAAACAGTCTCCTAGACCAACCAGGATCAGGCGCCCGCCGTAACCCCCCAACGCTACAGCATCACTCTCCTTCCCGGTGATGGTATCGGCCCTGAAGTCATCTCCGTCGCCAAAAACGTCCTCAAACTCGCTGGCTCTCTCGAAGGTTTTCTGTCCTTTTACCCGTTTTCTCTCTTTTCAGTCATCTCCGCTTAGCTATTTGCTTTGGTAGCAACATTTGGAAAGAAAGAAAGAAATTTTTAGCTGTTTATTATATTTGAATATGTGTAAAGTGAAATTCTTGAGAGAGTATGGAATTTAAACTGTAAATTGGACTGAGACAGTGGAATTAAACATTGTTGTAGGTGTTATACAATACATGTATTTGAATCAATGTGCTGGCAGAGAAAACTGAAGTTTGAGTAAGTTTTTCATTTTATTCGCTAAAGTTTTGAAAGTAACAAATTGTTTATTAAAATTATCAATTTATAATAAATCGGTCACTCACCGCTAATAGCTGTTAAACTGGGTGACATAATGAAGATATGGTATGTTAAACTAATTTGTTTATCACTGTTTCACCATGTTAGATGAAAATTAACCAACTTTTTTTACTAATTCTTACCTCTTTTATATTTGTTTTTTCTCTATTTCTCCTTCTTTCTCTTTCGTTCCCATTCCATCTCCAATAATTTTAAATTAACGATCAAATGTTTGATTTTTCCCTCTTTGTATAAAAGCTTTTCTCCCTCTCTAATGACAAGAGAAAGAAGGAGAAAAAGAGAGAAAAAAAATATAAAAGAGGTAAGAATGAATCAAAAAGTTGGTCAATTTTCGTTCAACATGGTGAAACAATGCTAAACAAATGAGTTTAACATCCCACATCAGTATTTCGTAACCTTTTCTAAAAATTATTAACGACGAGTGATTGATTTATTATAAATTAAAATGTTAATGTCTTATTTGTTATAAATTGATAACATTAATGATTAATTTATTATTTTTAAAACTTCAGAACCTTAATGATCATTTATGTAGTTTACCCTTACTTTAACTTCAGCGCTTTACTTTTTTTAAAACTTTTAACGTCAGCATTTCCCTAATGTTAACCCTTATTTTCACTTTCATTTCTCGTCCTAAAATGTCTGCTTATTTTCACTTTTATTTCTCGTCCTAAAATGTCTGCTTATTTTCACTTTCATTTCTCGTCCTAAAATGTCTGTTTATTCTCACCTCAATATCTGCTCCCTTTCTCCTTTTAATCATAAACCAATTGCCAAACAGTCTCCTAGACCGACCAGGATAAGGCGCCCCTCCCCGCCGCCGCCGTACCCCCCCAACGCTACAACATCACTCTCATTCCCGGCGATGGTATTGGCCCTGAAGTCATCTCCGTCACCAAAAACGTCCTCAAACTCGCTGGCTCTCTCGAAGGTTTTCTGTCCTTTTCCCCATTTTCTCTCTTTTCAGTCACTCGTTGCTTTATGTTTGGTTACTGATTAAGTGAATCAAATAAATAGAAAATAGTAGGGCTTGATTGTGGAATTGTAGTAATATTGTGTTTTCTGATTCGAAATGGATTTAGCTCCGTTTAGTTATTTGCTTTGGTAGCAACATTTGGAAAGAAATAAATAAACTTTTAGTTATTTATTATATTTGAATATGTTTAACTATAATTGATATTTTATAGCTTAGTAGTTGAATGTTTTTCTGATGTGTAAAGTGAAATTCTTGAGAGAATATGGAATTTAAACTGTAAATTGGACTGAGACAGTGGAATCGAAGCAAAATATTATCGATAATATGAAACCCATAAAATTAAACATTGTTGTAGGTGTTTTACAGTACATGTATTTGAATAAATGTGCTGGCCGAGAAAACTGAAATGTTTTAGGATTTTAAATGTATACTATTGAAAAAAGCTTATTTTAATTAGTTGTTTTTCTTTCTTGATGTTTAGATATGATGGACAAGTTACTTGAGAATTACTAGATTTTTTTTTCTTCCCTCTGGGCTCATCTATTCTTATTGTTGATAAGATATAGGTCAAATAAATAACTAAATTTGCGGGGCTTCCAATATTTTCTTTATTTTTGTTCCTAGAGTTTCATAGTTTGTTGTTTTCAATAAGAAATTTTTTAGATTTCATATAATGCCCGTTCTTTATCACTACAAATGCTATGACATGTATTATTTGGGATTGATTTCAGCTTCCAAGAGATGCCCATGGGTGGAGATGCTTTGGACTTGACTGGAGTTCCAGTGCCCGAGGAAACACTTTCTGCAGCACAAAAAAGCAGATGTCGTTATCCTTGGAACAATTGGAGGCTATTCTCGTATATGATACTTTGTTGATTATTTTCTTAGCTCTTCTCTTGTGCATTTTTCATTTATCACTTGATTTATCTTCAAGATATAAGTAGAGTTGAACAAAACTCGACTCAACTTAATTAAAAAAAATCGAATTTTTTGACTCGACGCTAAAAAACTCGCATTGCCACAAAAAAATTCAAAATAAAGTTTGAGTTATAAAATAGGACTTGAATAACTCAAAATTTTAGTAATTAGTGGATAGATTTTCAAGTG